AACAATAAAAAATATATACGTGTGTGTGTGTGTATATATATATATATATATATATATATATATATATACACATGTATAAATGAATTTAAAGAAACAGAAATAAGATGGGGGTGCCCTGGTTGGACATCCAGGGTCCTGGGGTAACTTTGGCCTGCTCTGACCTCTGCCCCCTCTTGTCCACATTTTCTAGCTTCGCACCCCCAAGACTACACAGTGGGGAATCTCATCCGCATGGGCGTGGCTGCCTTGGTCCTGGTGGTCCTTGGGGTGCTGCTGTTTCAAGCTCAAGACAGTGAGAGACGTGTCTCTGATGCTCCCAGAACATGAGCACAGAGGGGAGAGGGGGCCTTTCAGAGATGGGGAGCCATGGAGCCCATCTGATGACCCAGGAGGTGGTGAAGGACAGTCTGGACCACAGGTGGGGAGACTGTCTGCTGCTGTGTCCAGGACAGTGAACAAGCTTTGGGTTCAGGGAGTGTCTGAGCGCTCCCTGTGCAGGGCTCTTCCTCCATTAAATGTCTGTTTTCTCTACCTTCTTGTTGACTTTCTGTAATGACCCCCTTGTTTTCCCACCCCTGTGCCATGACGGTCCATCCCACATGGCTGGTTTGTGCCCACACATCTAAAACCTCATGCTCCCTTCCAATTTATGTAATAAAATGTTCTTTATTTCTACTCACTACCTGACCAGGTGGACACTATTGAGTCTTCCTCTCCTCAGTTCACAGGAGTTATCCAGAAATCAATCAAGTAAAAAAAAATGGGCTAAATTAGATGTCACCCTGGAAAGATGAATACATCTCGATGCCACCCCCCTCCAAACCCACCATCCTTCCCATCTGCATCAGATGCCACGTGTCCCATTTCCCCAGAACTGCCCTCACTTGGTGTTTGAAGGGACAGCCTAGTGGAGGGCTGCCTCTGAAAATAATCATTTTTTCATAATAATATGATTTGTACAATTGTCCAGAGTCTGAATACATCAAATGGAATATCATTCAACCTTGAGAAAGAAGGAATTCCTGTCACTTCGGACCACACACAATGACCTCAGGGGCATTTTGTTTAGTGAGATAACTCACACAGAGAAATACTGAATGACCTCAGGTATATGTGGAATCTATAAAAGCCAAGCAGGTAGAAACAGAGAGAGTGGAATGGTGGTGACCATGGGGAGTGTGGGAAAAGGAGAGATGTCAGTCAGAAAGCATCAACGTTCAGTGGTACTAGACCTAATATATATTATGTGGGAGACAAATTTCATATTTCTTCTGAAAACAGTTTTATATAATTAACCAGTGTTATACATCAGCTTGGCCAGGGAATAGTGAATAATATAAACTGAATGATTGATATCACTTTCAATAGCAGCAAGCTATGTGATTGAAGAGCTCAGGAAAACAAAAGGTGACACCTTAGACATCAGGGGTGTTGAGTCATGGGGCTCAGGTCAGTCCCTCAGCACCTGCTATTTTAGGATAAAAAGAAGCTGTTCCTCTTCCTGTGAGAGAGGCCTCTTGTGGACAGTACAAATGTGGTGTGGGAGAATCCCCGCCACCACATCCTGTGAAGTTGTCAGCTTTGCTCAGCCCCTCCTCCTGTTCAACAGAAGAACCATGTTCCCCAAATTCCTCAGCCTTGGGAAGTACAGGCAAAAAGTGGCACCTCATTGGAGCTGACTATGGACATAGTGCTTGTGAATTCTTGCTCCTCGCCTTCTTCTAAGGTGACAACACAAGTGTCACTCTCATAATCATCAGGGAAATAGAAATAAAAGCCACTGTGAGACAGCTCATACCTGTTATAATGGCTGTTTTCAAAGAGACAAGAAACAGCAAGGTTCAAGATTCAAATCGAGGTGCAAAGGTTCTTTTGTGTTGGTGTTTTAGTGTTCTTAGGATATAGTCCCAGCAGTGGAATTGCAGGGTCAAAAGGCAGATCCATTTTTAGTTTTCTAAGCAAAATATAACCAAAGACACTGAAATAGGGGACAGACTGACAGTGACCAGAGGGGAGAGAAGAGGGAATTTCAGAGGAGATTGGGAAGGGTTTACAGGAACAAATATAAAGGACACATGGACAAAAACTAGGGGGAGGGTGGTAATGGGAGGGAAGTGGGGAGGGTTGGGTGGGTGGGCTGGAATGAGAGTAGAAGGAAGAAATCTGTACTTGAACAATGATTAAAATAAAATTTTAAAAAGAAAAAGAAAAAAAAAAGATTCAAATCGAGACCGGACAGCAGACAGTGTCTTGAACTACTAGCGAAACCCAAAAATGAACTCACAGCTAACTAAATGAACCGATCACCAAAGGCATGAATTAAAGTATACAGTGGCTTATTCACACTCGCTCTGCAGCTGGGGAGGGCCAAGGGGCGCTCCATACCAAAGCAGCTCATTCACCCTTGTGCAGTGATCTCAATGCACTGAATCTGGGGAGAGAACGAGGTAGCATTTACTCCTCCCATGGGGGGAAGTGTCATTGTTATAACACAGTGAGAATTTTATGATGAAACTAGCACCAACAAGAAGTAGCTCTCAGATGCTACCAAGTGTTAATAAATCAGACATGAGGAAGATTACCACGAAGGTGCCTCTGTCTTCATAAAGCATTCAAATTTCCTCAGCTTGTCTCCATCTCTCTGACCACAGATCTTTCTTATTATTAAAAAAAAACAAAGATGACCACATTTCTCAATTGAACTTCATGCTGAATAACCATTAATGTTATATATCTGTGATTTAGCCAAGAGGAGTAAGAAAATGATTTACCTAGGGAAGGACTGACCATCATCCACGATGGATAAAAAACCTTTGTCCCTTCTTCCTGGGAAATGATTGGCTTGCATCTCATTGTGTGAACAGGACTGGCATCATGCAAAGTGAGACCATGATTTTGCTGTTGAGGTATGTTTAAAAGACACAAGTTTGCCCTAACGGGTGTGGCTCAGTTGGTTGGAGAGCCTCCCTGTGAACTGAAGGGTTGTGGTTTCAGTCCCAGTCCAGTCACATATGGGAGGCAATCTCTGGATACAAAAATAAAATAAAACAATAAAATAAAATAATAAAATAAAACAATAAAATAAAATAAAATAAAATAAAATAAAATAAAATAAATAAAATAAAATAAAAGTTCCAATGCCAAGTCCACTTGATAAGGAACAGCCATGATGACTTTGCACTAGGTCATTGTAGCTAAGCCTGAACTATGTTTTCTAGAATTTTCCTTTCTGTGGTCCCAGGTGTGGAATGACCACCACAGATACTGGAACAAGACTTAGAAAATGGAAGTGAAACCACAGGTGTGTCTATTGCTAGGCAGCGGGTGTGCAAATGCTGGCTCAGTGACTTGGCATCCCACACACATGACACAGGACCCGCTGTCTCAGCCTTTGTGTAGGACACAGCCATGTCCACAGTGCTTCTTTCCCCTCAGCTCCTCCCTCCACTGGGCTGTCACCTGCACCAGCACAGGTATTTCTGACACTCTGTAGTGAAGACCACCACACATCACTGGGGTGGCAGAGGGTGATAGACACACTGACCCCAGTGTCTCTGGATCTGGCCACATCCTATCCAGCATTTCCTCTCAACACCCATCATGTCCAGCATCATGATGGCAACCACAAGACACCACATGACCTTGCACAGAGTTCTTCAGCTGCCACCACAGCCCCACAAAGTCTGATGCCCTCTGTCATCCTCATCACTCACATGGCCCTGACTTCTGATGGAATCCCATACCAGAAGCATTCAGATCTACAAGAGGATGACCCAGATGACTGTATGTCTTGGGACAATAACCCCAGCTACCACAGTTTTTGTGAAGATTAAGTGCAAACTCCCTCCAAGGACTCTACCTGTCTGGAATAAAATAGAGACTCAGTAATAGCTTAGTTATATGTTGTTTTAGATTTAGAGTTAAGATCACCACATGAAGGTGGAATGCGGGGGGGAAGATTACAAATCAAAGCTACATGTTTACCCAGGAAAAGAGTTGTTGTGAGCATGTAGTAAGCTTCAACCTGCCTGCCAATTTGGGACAATGATGAAGAAGGGTGGGAGTGAGAGAGGATGAAGAAGGTGAAGGGATTCAAAATCACAGTGACACAAGGAAGCCACATGTTGGCTGGTCACCACACAATGCAATATACAGATGATATAACAGAGAATAACACGCTTAAAACCTATGTAATGTTATTCATAGTTAACACCACCCCAGTTAACTTAATTTAGAAAAAGACCAATGTGTGACTACAGCCAATGTGACATCTCCTTTAGGTTCAACATTGACTGATCTCCAGGAACAGAATCCGTGCCAACATGACCTTAAAGAAACACACAGAAACAGGGCAAATGATAGTCCTGCAACAGCCCCTCCAGCGAGGTCCATCTGGAACATTTTGCACACTGGGCAGTTGGCACTTTTCAGAAACTTATTGTCATTCCTGCCACTTTGGATACGAAGAAGGGAACACAGAATTGACAGAAGAGGACCACATGTTCCCATGGTATTTCAGAGCAGACCTCAGGTTGGAAATTATTTATTTCTTCTTCTCTACCCTGTGGTTATCTTACCCCATCCATTGCACAAAAGATGGAAATGGAGCACAGAATATACAAATCAGATTAGACACACAGCAGGCTTTTTTTTTTTTCGAGCAGCAGTGTCAAGGCACACCCTGTCATTTAGAAGCAAGAGCCATAAGCTCACAGAGTATTTCAGAGCACATCTTGGGAACTACTTCTGACCTGCTTTTTCTCTGTGCTCCCTGCTCACTGTGCACTTTAAACAGAAAGATTAAATGCTCCTGTGAAACTGAGGACAGAAAATAGGGACAAAGTTGGACTGGTGATACTCTGAAAGTCAGATAACTATCATCTTCATGACTGAGCTGCATCTGCAAGACTCACCCAGAAGAAGTTGTGAAATGTCTTCTTTCACTCTGGGGGTGAGACTCAAGGCCACTGCACCACTTCCTGCTGCCTGGCATTCCTCTTAGAGAAGTCTGTGCTCATAACGCAGCAACACTGGGGCAGGTGGCCAGCCAGAACCCTCGATCATGTCCCTGGTCCTGCCCACTCTGCTCTGTCTCGGTGAGTCTAGACAGAAGGGTCAGGTGCAAACACAAGGCTACAGGGGGCAGGTTGATGGTTCTATAAGACGGGGCTCTTCTCCATTAAGTGGAAGAAAACAAAACAGAAAGGAACTCATAATCACAGAGAGCTGACTGACATTTGCCAGAGGGGAGGGAGAACAGGGGGCTGGGTGGAAAAGGTGAAGAAATTGAGAAGTGCAGGTTGGTGGTTATAAAATACTCATGGGATGTAAAGGACGGCACAGGAAATATAGTCAATAATATTGTAATAACTGTGTGTACAGTACAAGGTGGGTGCTGGAAATATCAGAGGACACTTTATAAAATACCTGATGGTCTGACCACCATGCTGTACACCTGAAACTGATACAAAATAACATTGAATGTGAACTGTAAATGAAAAATATTGTTTTAAAGACTGAGCTGTTATCACCTGCTCTTTTCTTCTAGCACTGGTTTTGGGTCAGAGCACACAGGCTCAGAAAGGTGAGTATTTGTTTATATTATTTTTTATTTGTATCTTTTTTCTTATTATGAGGTGAGTATTTTTTTAATGTTCCAAGGACTGAGTTGGGTTTGGCCAGATATCAGCTCTCCTGGCCACTGGGATGAGGCATGTTTGCCTTAACCTTGTGTCTGTAAGTGTGCAGGCAGTGGGGAATGGCATGAGAAACAAATACACCTGTCCACTTCTCACCTGTTCTTCTAGGAGCTTTACCCCAACCTAATATCACAGCTCAGCCTGGATTCATAGTTCTATCTAATGAACCTGTGACCATCCAGTGCCAGGGGCTTACAGAAGCTGAAGCATACAAGATATTTAAAGAGGGAGGACCTGAGCCTAGGGAAGCTGAGACGTCCACTTTGCATATCAAAGAGATGAAACCAGACCAGACAGGACTGTACCACTGTTCCTACAAAAGTGGAAAACTCTGGTCCCCATGCAGTGTCCCCCTGACATTGGTCATGACAGGTGAGTGACACATGGGCAGCAGGGCCAGGTAGGACCCTTTGCAGGGGGAGAAGCAGGCTCTCAGATAGGAAGGCTGAGTCTCTGGGAAGGAACCAGGGTGGTGCAGAGAGGGCTTCCCTCAGGGTGGGACAAGATAGCTGGAACCCAGAGCCCCATATCTTGTTGGGAAACAGAAAAGACAATGAATGTACATGACCTCCCTTTGTCACTGAACTTCCCTCTTTCTCAGGAACTTATGCCAAACCCTCACTCAGCAGCATGAGTGACACTGTGGTGGCTTCAGGAGATGAAGTGATGTGGAAGTGTTTTTCAAAACTCAAGTTTGATAGATTTATTCTCATCAAAGAAGATGGATTTCACACCATCCAGAATGAAAGCTCCACATGCCAGGACAATCAATGCCAGGCCATCTTCCACAGGGGTCCTGTCACCCCCACACAGGCAGGGACCTATAGGTGCTACGGTGCCTTCAACTGCTACCCCTATGTGTGGTCTCAGCCCAGCAACCCATTAGAACTTGAGGTCAAAGGTGAGGAAACTCGTTTGTCTTCATGTCCCCACGTGAGGTTGATGATGTCCAGTTAGAGGGGAGGTTGGGGAAAAGAGGGCAGTTAAGGGGGTGGCAGTGTCAGCACCCTGTTCTTGGACAGGAAGCTGTGAGGTCACCCTCACCCCTCACCCACCCTGCAGCCCTCCCACCCTGTGCCCGGGCCTGTGGGTCATTGCAAGTCTTTGCACAGAGAGCCTGAGTGGAGATAATGAAACCAGCCCATTTTGTCCCCATTTGCAGAACTTCCTGATGGTTCCACCAGACCCACAGACCCCAGACCTACACAGGGTGAGTCACTGGTGTGTGTAAAGAATTCAAAGAACAAGTTTTCATACCTCTTCTCACAGACTTGGAGTAAAAATAGTATTTATCAGAAACAGAGTCAGCTTTTCAAGAGGACTCCTGGTCCTGGCTTGGTAGCTCAGTTTGTTAGAGCATCGTCCCGTACGCCAAGGCTGCAGGTTCAATCCCTAGGCACTGTGTATATGAGAATCCACCAACAAATGCATCAATAAGTAGAACAACAAATCATTGTTTCTCGCTCCTCCTCCTCCTCCTCCTTCTCCTCCTCCTCCTCCTCCTTCTTCTTCTCTCCCCCCCCCTCACATATCCTCAGGTGAGAATTTTTTTTAAATGACTCTTGAGCCAAGACCTCTGCAGTTGTGGCCACCATCTCTGCATCCCTACATGCTGAGAAGAATTTAGTATGAATTTGCCTTGCCTGCAGTCCCACAACACATTTCTATCAGTACCTGTGATATGCGTGTGTTGTGGGACCATTCATAGAGAAATAGACACATGCGTTTTCAAAGGCAGATGAGATGAGGTGAGGAGTTCTGTCTTGGACTTGTGCTTCTGAGAAAGCTGTGCATTATCTTACATGCCTTCAAAGTTAGCTTATAAATGTTGAGCTACAAGAGTTCACTGCAGATACAGGTACAGAATTGATGAGCATAAAGATTGCAAAGGACATAGGGGAGAGAAAGAAGAACATCCTAAGGTGAAACATAACGCAAGCAAAAAAAAATCTATTGGATTAAAAACTACATAAGGGATGGGTAGAACAGGGGCTGAAAGGCTATGACCAAGGGCTAAGTCCAGCTCACTGCCCATTTCATTAGAAATCCTTTTACTGTGAGGGTAGGTAGAAGAAGGTAAAGGGAGAATAAATGGTGATGGAAGGACACTTGACTTGGGGTGAACACACAGTACCATATACAGGTGATGTATTATAGAATTGTACCCCTAAGCCCTGCCTGGCATGGCTCAGTGGATTGAGTGCTGGCCTGAGAACCAAAGGGTCTCTGGTTCAATTCCCAGTCACTGCATAGGCCTGGGTTGTGGGCCAGGTCCCCAGTTGGGGGGGTGTGAGAAGCCACCATACATTGATGTTTCTCTCCCTTTCTCCATCCCTCCCTCTCTTTCTAAAAATACATAAATAAAATATATTTTTAAAGAATTTTATATAGATGCCCCTGAAACCTATATAATTTTATTAAGCAATGTCACCCCAAGTAGGGAAGGAGAGAGTAATGGGGAAGGGGAGGAAATGGAGACAACTGTAATTGAACAAAAATAAATAAGTAAATAAATAAGAAATCATTTTTGGGGGCTCTAGCATGCATTAACCATACTTCTATTGGAATCTCACCAACATGTAAAGAATTTTTTATGTGTAGTTTTGGCTGCAGCAAATGCATATTTCCCACAAATTTTGACATAGCAGCTCAATTCTTAGTTCTTGAAGTATGCTCTCCCATTAGCTTTGCTATCTTTACACTCCTTCTAATTTTTCATTCACTCTACTGGAGTCACATTGATTAATAACATTATATGAGTGTCAAGCATACAGTTCTGTGGTATATCATGTGTATATTGCATCATGTGCCCACCACTCCAAGTCAAATCATCTTCCATCACCATGTATTTGACCCCTTCACCCTCTTCCACCTCCCCCAACTCCCCTTCTCTCTAGTAACACCATACTATTATCTGTGTCTATGAGTTTTTGTTTGTTTGTCTTGTTTGTTTGTTGCTTTCAGTTTTATATCCCATTGCTTTCAGTTTTATATTCCACATAGAAGAGAAATCATATGGTTCTTGGCATTTTCTGATTGGCTTAGCCTGATATTCACCCACCATGCAGCCCTGCTACCCTGTGCCCAGGCCTGTGAGGGCATGTGGGTCATTGCAAGTTTGTGCACAGAGAGCCTGAGTGGAGATAATGAAACCAGCCCATTTCGTCCCCATTTGCAGAACGTCCTGATGGTTCCACCAGACTCAGAGACTCTGGACCTACACAGGGTGAGTCACTGGTGTGTGTACAGAATTCAAAGTACAAGTTTTCATGCCTCTTCTCTCAGATTTGGAGTAAAAGTAGTATTTATCAGAGATTTATCTCATCTGGCTCTTCCCTGAGCTGTTCTTTTCTCTACCCCAGGGGTCAGCAAACAATGCCTGTCAGGCACCAGATTGTAAGTGATTTGGGCTTTGTGAGCTGTGGTCACCTTTGCAACTACTCACCTCACAGACAACCTCAGAAGAGAACACAGTCATGTGCTCCCACGAAGCATCACATACAAGCACTGAAATTTGTTTTCAGATGTTTGTACATGTCATGAACTATTCTCCTTCTCTTTTTCTTTCCTCTATTTTTATTGTTGGCACTATTACAGTTGTCCCTATTTGACCCCATCCTCCCAGCCCTCCCCCCACTTCCCTGGGCTTCACCACCCTGTTGTCTGTGTCTATGGGTTATGCATGTACATTCTTTAGCTAATGTCTTCACCTTCTTTCATCCATCCCCCCATTCCCCTCTGACAGTGATGTCCATGCCTCTGTTTCTATTTTGTTTGTCAGTTTACTTTGCTCATTCAGTTCCATGTATGAGTGAGATCATATGTATTTGTCCTTCTCTGACTGTCTTATTTCACTTAGCATAATAATCTCAATTTGTGTCAACAGTTTAAAAATGCAAAAATCCATTCTAAAGGCCAGGTCCACACACACAAAAAAAACAGCTGATCTCTATATTGATACAAATTTCCATATACAAGCTCTCTCTTTTGAATATAAGAACTTTACTGAAGTCAATGCAATTAAATTTATTGAAAGCTTAAAAGGGGGAAACTTGAACACCTCTTTAAGTGCAGGACTAAAGGCAAAGTGGACTCTTCCTGGATGTGGTAGTCAGACAGGTATGTGTCCATCTTCCAGATGTTTCTCTGCAAAGCTCATCCTCTTCTGGTCAGTAGGGATGTTCTCTTTGTCTTGGACCTTGGCCTTGACATTCTCAATCATGTCACTGGGCTCCACCTTCAGTGGAGGCCTTTCTGTTAAGGTCCTCATGAAGATCTGCATCCCACCCTTGAGGTGGACATGCAAAACCAAGAGAACATGCCCGCTGACCAGCAGAGGTTGATCTTTATTGGGATGCAGCTGAAAGATGGCACACCCTGCCTTACTACAATACCCGAGTTCTTTCTTCTTTTCTTTTTTAAATCCTCACCTGAGGCTATATTCATTGAGTTTAGAGAGAGAGGAAGGGAGGGAGAAAGAAAAGAAGAAGGAGCAATGTGAGAGAGAGACATCGATCAGTTGCCTCCTGTACATGCCCTGACCGGGAATCAAGACCTAACCTGCAACCTTTTGGTGTATGGGACAGTGCTCCAACCAACTGAGCCACCTGGCCAGGGCCAAGTTCTTTCTCATCTGTGATTTCATGAATGAAGCAAAGGAGGTGATCAAAGCCATTCCTCTTTCTAAAAAACAGGGTATTAACCTAAAAGGCTTATTAATTAAGGGTATTAATTAAAGGCTTTTCCAAATGAGAGGCAAGTAACATTTATTGAGATCAATAAGAATAGCTGTTTGGGAGTCTTCAATTCAATCAGAAGGCCTAATAGTTTTCCAATGAGGAGACAAAGCCAATGGGCCTTTATGAGAAAGGGAAGGAGAACAATTCATAAAAGGAAGACATTGCTATTGGTGCAGATAACATAATTAGTGATGTTGTCATCATACTAAAGGGTGTCTGTCATTCACCTGCATTCCTCAAAGTCCAATCAAACATGAATGGGAGTTTGCAGCCAAGAAAGTAAAGGTTTATTTTAAGGAAATGGCATGAAATATGGAGCCACAGCTGAACTAATGCTCCAAGACCTGGCTCTTAGATGGCTTCTAGGGGGTGTGTTATACTAAAAAACATCATTAATCATAGTAACTAAGGGTTCTAGTTAGGGTCGTGGTCTCCCCTGATTGGTCTGCACTAGGGCAGGAAGTAGGTGGTCACTGCATCAGGCCCTGATGTCAACCAGGGCATCGCTCCATCTGATTGGTGGGTCTGGAGCTGAAACACAGCTAAGGCCTAGATGTTATCTCTAGTTCAACTGAAACTCTGTCTCAGTGGTTAACAGATCCGAGGCTTTGTCCCCAAGGGTATTTAATGCTGACCAGAACCTCATTGTCTTCAGGGCTTAATGATTAAAGTAGTAGATGTTTCAAGGGAGAGGGAGGGGGGAATGAGTCAGGGTGCCGGAGGAGGCCAGTTTTGAATCAAAAGGACAAAAAGGGAGAAAAGGTCCCATTAAAGAAATGAAGTTTCTGTATGGTTATAATGTTAAAGCTGAACAATGTTTGATGTTTTGTTTTGTTTTGTTTTTAGATTTTATTTATTTGTTTTTAGAAAGAGGAGAAAGAAGGGAGAGAGGGAGAGAAACATCAATGTGTGGTTGCGTCTAGAGTCCCTCCTACTGGGGACCTGGCCTGAAACCCAGGGATAGACCCTGGCTGGAACTCGAACCAGTGACCTTCTGGTTCTCAGGCCAGCACTCAATCCACTGAACCACACCAGCCGGGGCAACAATGTGTTGTTGTTGTTGTTGTTGTTGTTTAATTTTAAGCCAAGGAGTCATCAGCCCAGTAGTCATAATATTGGCCCTCTTCTTGTCTTGCAAACAGTTGTTTGGGACACAGGGCTGCTAAGACCCAATCCAAGGGTTCCTTTGCCCTCTTTTTCACATTCCAGGGTTTGAGCTGTACAATGTGCAAGGCAGCTGCTCTGATCTGGCAGCTCTGGATCCGTGTTAAAGTGACTCCACTCATATTACAGGAATCAGCCCTCAGCAGGCAGTCGGGATGGGGTCTGCAAGAGCACACAGTAACTGCACCTTCTGTGAAGGTCCTTCAGACAGGGCAGCTGCTCCAACACTCTCTTGTCCTTTGCAGGCCCATCCCAAAACCTGCCTCTTCTGATTGGCGTGCCAGTGGCCATCCTGCTGTTTCTTCTCCTCGTCCTCCTTTTCTTATGCATCCGCCATCGCAAAGCCAAAAACAGTACGTCCTAGAGGGAGGGAGGGAGACATGGGCAGAGCCCCCTGTGCTGCAAATCCTATGTGGAAAAGGGGGAGGGGCATTTGCTCAGGGAGGGGTGGTGAGAGAGCCAGCAGTGTGGAGATGTAGGCTGATCTGCTAGCCCCAGCTGTCGGTGTAATTATCTTCTGAGCGCTCCTATCTGTGAAGTCAGAAGACAGGGCCCGGACATCCACAGTGGCCTCTCTGAGAACATGACCACCTGTGTTCTGGCTGTGCTAACAGAAATAGACTGGGAGGCTGAGGCAGCGTTCAGTTCTCACAGTTCTGAGGGCTGGGAGGTCTGCGGTTGAAGGTGCTGGTGGTTTGGGTCCTGGGGGTGGGGAGGGCATTCTCTTGCAGGTAGCCACCTTCCTGCTGGGTCCTCGCAAGGTGGCAGGGAGAGAGCTGGAGTTCTGGCCTGCTGCTACAAGGGCACTAACCCCACTAGGAGAATTCCACCTCTAAGACCCCATCTAAACCCAGCCATCTCTCAGCAGGCGGCACCACTGCCCAATACTGTCCCAGGGCGGGTTAGGGTGTCAGCATATCTACTGGGGGGTGGGGTGGTATCCAGCATGCTGCCCCTAACAACTACCTCTTCCCTCCAGAAGCCACCAAGACAGGGAGACAGGCACAGGCAGCAGAATCAAGGAATAGACAGGTAAGAGTTTCCTCCTCTGCTCTGCCCTCCAACAATTCTCGGGTCCCCAACATCACACCACCATATCATAGTCTCCATTCCTTCCTCAGGCCCCTGAAACTAGAGACCCACAGGATGTCACCTATTTGCAAGTGGCCTTCAATGGCCCTAACCAGGGGACATTTTCAACACTCAGACAGACCCACACCAACGAATATGCAACCATTGTCCCAAAATGAGCTCTGCTTTGGACAGTAAAACATAGAGCTGCCTGTTGGAAGGTTCCTCCTCTGGAGTCACTGTTTCTGTATCTGAGGCTGCTGACCTGGCCAAGGGGACCCACATGACCCCCTGAATCTGGAGACCTGAACACTATCACCCAGTAAGTTCCAGAAGCTCTACTACAATTGTCCAGCAATTTCCAGGACACTGCAAAGTTACTGGGACAATGACAGAGTGGTTTTTGTATGTTTTCATTGATTAAAAAAATAGACTTCAGTACTTTCGGGTGCCAGGTTTTATGTTACAGTCTAGAAGCACAGAAAAGATCCTAAATTCATTCCTCTCGTCAAAAATGTGAGATCTAGTGCAGGGCTCCGGAGATGATCACCCAGAGGCCAGCTCTGGCAAGCCACGTGATTTTTTTATACAGCACCTACATTTTACTTTTTTTTGTATTTTTAGTGTTCATATATATATATAATGTCAATGTAAGAATATATTCACTTTTCTTGTGCGGGGGGCGGCCATGGTGGTGGAGTGAAAATGGAGAGAACTGTACTTGAACAACAATTTTTAAAAATGTAAAAAAAAGAAAAATCCAAATTTGTAGGGAATTTTTGTAAGAGTTTATTTGAGCCAAACTGATGTCATATGCCAGAGGGCTAGATGTCAAATGCTCTGGGAATAATAATTTTGTGGGGTTTTTTATGCATTTGAAATTAAGAAGGGAATAGAAGGAAGATTACACTGAAGTGGGAGAAAACAAGGCAGATATAAGATTACAGGATAGTAAGAGTACGTGCTCTCCCATTTGAACTCACACGCAAAACAGAGACAGACTCAAGGAGAGCAGATGACAGCTGGTCGGGGGATGGGGTGAGGGGGTGGAGGGATTGAGCAAAAAGGAAAAAAGGACTCATGGACAAGGACAATCATGTGATTGCTGGGGGCGGGGGTTATAAGGGAACTACATGGTAGTGGAAAAATATAATAAAGATTAAATTTTTTTTAATCCACAAGACAAAAAAAGATTATGTGCTCTCTCAGGGGTTGTCACAGCTTATTTCAAAGGTATGTTAACCTCTATGCACAGAAACTGCACACAGAGCTTGCTTAAGGCAAAGATAAACCTTTGACTAAAGAACTCATAGGCCTGAGGGGGTAGGTGACTACCCAGTTAGGAATTTATTATCGGATCACCCTGTGAAGTCACTTTCCCTAAAACTCCTTTTTCATTTGCAATAACATAAAATGTACCACTTGAACCATTTTTAAGTACAGGCTTCAGTAACACACTGTTGTACAACCATCACCAACAGTACATCTTATATGGCTGAAAAAAATCAAAAGAAGAATATTTTTAAGACTTTATTCACTTATTCTTAGAGAGGGGAAGGGAGGAAGGAAGAGAGGTAGAAAAACATCAATGTGTGGTTGCCTCTCACACACCCCCCACCAAGAACCTGGCCCGCAACCCAGGCATGTGCCCTGACTGGGAATCAAACTGGCAACCCTTTGCTTTGCAGGCCAGCATGCAATCCACTGAGCCACACCAGCCAGGGTAGAAGAAGAATATTCTTAACAGCTTTATTGAGGTATCATTCATATACAAAGACCTGAATATAATTAATATTTAATATGTACAGCATATTAATGGAATTAATATGCAAACACCCATAAAACCCTCATCACAATCAAGATAATAGATATACCCACATTCACAAAGCCCAAAGGACCCCAAATAGGATAGAAGCATATGAAAAATAAAATAACATCTATAAAAGAGAGTTTAAAGAAAAGTTTTGTTGAAACACAACCACTCATGTTCATTTACATATTACATGTAATGGCAGAATTTAAGTGTTGAAACAGAAGGAGCAGAAGGCGGATGGTCAACAATTGACCCTATGGCTTCTTCACCCAGCCGAGGACAGCACACAGGAAACAGAGTCATTTATAAAATCCTCAGTTAGTTTAATACAATCAAGACACAACAACTTAAGAGGTGTGGCTCTACTACACAATTTTCAAGCTCGGTTGTATAGTCAAGTCAATGAAATTGTTTTTAAACAACCCAAAGATATGAAAGCAACCCAAGTGCCCATCAATAGGCAACTGGACAAAGAAGTTGGGGTGCAGGTATGCAATGGAATATTACTTGGTCATAAAAAAGAATGCCATCTTACCACTGTGGCAGGCTAGATGGACCTAGAGGGTATTGTGTTCAATGAAATAAGTATGGCAGAGAAAGACAAATAACCTGTGGTTCCACTTCTATGCGGAATCTAAAAATCAAATTAAAATAAGTGAACAAATAAAACACAAACTCATAGATACAAAGAGCAAACTGATGGTCTTCAGATGGGGGAGGGGTTGAGGATGGGTGAATAAGGTGAAGGGATTAAGTACAGATTGGCAGTCATAAAAATAGTCACAGGGATGTAAAGTACACCACAGGAAATACAGTCAATAAGATTGTAATAACTGCCCTGGCTGGCGTGGTTCAGTGGATTGAGCACCAGCCTGGGAATCAAAGGGTCAGCAGTTCAATTCCCAGTGAGGGCTCATGCCTGGATTGTGGGGCCAGGTCCCCAGTAAGGGGCATACCAGAGGCAACCACACATTGATGTTTCTCTCCTTCTCTTTCTCCCTCCCTTCCCTCTCTCTGAAAATAAATAAATAACCTTTAAAAATAATATTGTAATAACTATATATGAGGCCAGGTGGGTACTGAAACAATTAGGGGGAACACTTTGAAAGTATATGATTGTCTAACCACTAAGCTGTACACCTGAAACTAATACAAGATACTACTAAATGTCAACTGTCATTGAAAAAAAATTAGAAATAAAGTAAAATGGGAAAAGAAGAAAAGGGGGTTGGGAATCAAGGAGGAGTGTCAGATGGGGTGGTGAGGCTTCAGGATGGGGTCTGAGACAGATTTACCCAGAGACCACAGAGAAGGTGAGACTGAAAGGCAGGCTAATGGAAGAAGTTGTATCAGAGAAGGTCGAGTCTGAGCCTGAACTAGGTCATGGGCATGAAGGGAAAGGGTAGACTTTAGGACTGTGCCAGAAGCTGCATCAACCAGCCAGCCTCCACCATCGAGTGAAAGTGGGGAGTTGTCAGGAGCATCTGTTGTGCAGAATTTCTGGGAAACAGTTTGCAACATGTCTCCAAATAGAAGCCATGGGTCACATTCCGGTGAACAAACCCATTTTTGGGAACTTGTCCTAATGGGGAGAAGTTTCACAATGTAGAATTCTCAAGAAGTCTCAGTTCTGTATTCTTAAAATAGTCACAGACAGGCCCCCATGCACCCACACCCGCACATGGAAAAATATGACCTGTATTTTGCCATGTATAATACACAGGGTTTTTTGCCCCAAATTTTTCAGGGACAAAGAAGGATGCGCATTATACATGGGCATAATGATCACATACCATGCATGTAATAATCCTGTGTATAATGCACACGGCACAGAAATGTCAGTGTGCATTGTACGTGGCAAAATACAGCCTGTAAAAGTAGACCATCACATGATAAAAACAATGGATAGATCAATGGATAAAGTAGATATGGCATATATATACAATGAAATAAGCAACCTAGGTGCCCATCAGTAAATGAATGGATCAAAAACTATGGTACATTTACACAATGGAATTCTATGCAGCAGAAAGAAAGAAGGACCTCCTACCCTTTGCAACAGCAAGGATGGAGCTGGAAAGCATTATGCTAAGTGAAATAAGCCAGGCAGTGAAAGACAAATACCATATGATCTCACCTTTAACAGGAACCTAAACAACAAAACAAAGAAACAAGCAAAATATAGTCAAAGTCACTGAAATAGAGGTCAGGCTGACAGTGACCAGAGGGGAGAGGGGAGGGAATTTCAGGGGAGAATGGGGTTTACAGGAACAAATATAAAGGACACATGGGCAAAAACTAGCGGGGGTGGAAGTGGGAGGCAGGTGGGGAGGGATGGGTGGGTGGGCTGGAATGGGGATAAAGGACAGAAAAATGTACTTGAACAATGATTAAAATTTAAAAAGACAAAAAAATAAAAATTTTTAAATGTTTTAATTTAAAAGTGAAATGTTACCATTTGTAACAACATATCTGTCTGTGCCTTTTACCTTTAGGGTACTTGCTCTCCCAGGACATACCTTGGTCTGTCTATCAGTTATATGTTGTCACATAGCATACTGCCCCCAAAATTCAGTAGTTTAAAAAAATTAAAAATTAGCCCAGGGTGGTGTGGCTCAGTGGATGGAGTCCCAGCCTGCAAACCAAAAGGTCACTTGTTCAGTTCCCAGTCAGGGCACACGCCTGGGTTGTGGGCCAGGTCCCCAGTGGGAGGGTGCTCAAAAGGCAACCACACATTGATGTTTTACTTCTTCTCTTTTCCCTTCCTTCCCCTCTCTAAAAATAAATAATAAAAACTTTTTCAAAAAATAAACAGAAAGGTACTTTAAAAAATTAAGTATCGGTAATGAGAAAGAGAAAATTTAAAATTACAGAGGAGTTTTATAATACATACTTCTTAAATTACTTCATTGTACTAAATTATTTTATTTTATTCACCTTGTGTAGGATTCTGTGTTGGTCTAGACACTTTTCAAGTTTGAGCAGAGAGATGACAGATGTTTAGATATATTCCCTCTAAAACATAAACAGAACTTCTAAATGCAAAACATTACAGTTTTATTTATATACCTACAAAAATTAATGTTGTCAGTATAAAACTGATGAACTTAGCCCTGGTCTGGTAGCTCAATTGGTTGGAGTATGGTCCCATACACCAAGGTTGTGGGTTCAATCCTTGGTCAGGGCATATGCAAGAATCAACCAATGAATGCATTAATAGATGTGTCACAGGTGTGCACAGGTGTGCACAGGTAACCAGGTTCTTAGTGATCGAGGACAAAGAATTGAACCGAACACACAAAGTTTATAGCATAAAGAAAGAGGGGAGGTTTATTAAGTGATAGTACACACCACAGGACACGGGAGTGAGCCAGCTCTGAGCAGAGGAAAAAAAGGGCATGTGGGCTGGGGGATTCTATTCTTATAGAGGCAGAAGCCCCCTGCTAGTCTTTGGCGGGCTTTTTCCTGCGCAGGTACAAGGAGTTGGATTTCAAAGTTACTGCGCATGTGTGGTTTCCCATGACTTTCTTGATTGGCTACTGGAGAAGGGAGTCCCACAATGTTATTTCATTATAATGATATTATAATGAATCAGGGGTAGCGTGCAGGCGCATTCTATGATTCAGAGTTATCCGAGAAAACAGGAACAACCCGTCTTAGGGGGTCTTTGTCATGTATAGGTGTTTTCTACCTCAGCCCTGCGGGGCCTTGGGAGCTTCCTTCCTGACTACCTCCTGCCTCAGATGGAACAACAAATCTTTCTTTCTCCCTCCCTGTCTCTCTCTCTCTCTCAAATCAATAAATAATTTTTTTTATTTTACAAATTAATGAACATGGCTCTTGATGGACTTCTTGTAGTTAATGTGTCACTTGCGTTTAACATGAAATTGCATTTAACATTAACTTGCAGTTAATGTGTCACTTGCATTTAATGTGTAGGTGGGTTTTTAAATACCTGCATGACAGCAGGAGGCTGCTAATCACAGCTGAAGGCACTGAGCCCTGGTTCTCAAGCTTGGCTCCAATTACAATCACCTGGGAATCTTTAACGACCTCCCCCCCACACAGTGTCCGGGCAGCCCCCATGGATCTATATGTCATAATCTCTGGGCACTAGTACTTTGAAATAATGCTCCAGATGGATGAGTTTAACATGCAGCCAAGATCGAGAACACTGAGAATATGATGCTCCCATTCAAGAAATAGTCTCTACCTATCAGTAATCGCACTGGAT